AAACCTGTCAGTCACTCCAATAAATACGTCAGTCATCACGACTTAATTTAAACAAGACGGACGAGGGCGGAGCAAACGGACGAGGGCGGAGCAAACGGAGGAGGGCGGAGCACTCGCTGCTGTCTGAGTATTTAAAAGAGTTTGATGTAAAAGTCGACGACGACACAGACGGTAAAAATTTTCAGACAAAATACTGAAGAAAAAAAATATAAAATTATTTTTTAGAACCAAGAAAATGTGGAATTATGAAGAAAGAAGTTTGAACGAGTAGAAAATGAACTTTACCAACACTGTCAACAACACACACACACACACACACACGCACACACACGCACGCACGCACGCACGCACGCACGCACGCACGCACGCACGCACACACACACTCCTTTATTCAGTCACTCAGTCATCCGGACAGTTTCTTCATAAATCAGGCAAACAGAACAAATCCCAGCATGCACTGGGGGAAGTCAGCGGACTGAAGACATGGGGGGGGGGGGGGGCTGACGCAACGAATCAGAGATCAGATTTAAAGTCAGAGTCAGCGACACGGAGCGGGTCTGAGGGTCCTCATGTGAACCTCCGCAGAGGACTCAGAAAGATCTCAAAGTCCACCTGATGTGGACTACACACCAACACACACTGGAGAACCAGAACCAGAACCAGAACCAGACCTGAGACCAGAGGAGGGGACACATCAGTCAGCCCCCTCAGTCCCTCTGAGTCTCCCTGTTGGACCATCACTCTGTGAACGGATGAATGAATGAATGAGTGAATGAATGAGAGTCCGTCTCAGCAGGTCACTCTGTGTCTCTGAACCAGATCCAATCAATCCAGTCCAGACACTCAGGAGGGTCAAACCTCTGAGGACCTGAGAGAGGAGAAAGTGTGTGAGTGTGTGAGTGTGAGTGTGTGTGTGTGTGAGTGTGAGTGTGTGTGTGTGAGTCAGGAGGTGTGAAGGTGTCTTTAAAGTCATCTACCTCTCTGTCCTGGTGTGACGTCTGAAGGACGGAGGAAGAGAAGAGAGAGAGAAGAGAGAGAGAGAGAGAGAGAGAGAGAGAGAGAGAGAGAGAGGGAGAGAGAGAGAGAGAGAGAGAGAGAGAGGAGAGAGAGAGAGAGAGAGAGAGAGAGAGAGAGACGACTCAGGTCTCAAACAGGAGGAGCGACTCAGAACCAGCGACTCAGAACCAGAGACTTGGATCCTTTTAAAAAGTTGTTTTTCTGACTCTGACCTCCAACTTCCACCTTCATCCTGAACATCTTCATCTGGATGGACACAGATGTTCCTCCTAAATCTGGAGATGTTGTCTAAAACTGAGGATGCAGCATCTAGGATTTCCAGTTCTTTGTTAAAGGACAGTTGGACAGTCCAACTGTCCTTTCTAAAAGAGAGAGTTACCCCTGACCTCCACCTTCTTCCTGATCGTCTACGAAAAGGTCGTATCCTCCGATCGTAGCTGATCGTAACCATTGATGGAGACGAACAAGTGAAAGGTTTTTAGACGTCATTTCACCCCGATGACACCATGGATGAGGAGATGCTGATTCTAGAAGTCTAGAAGTAGATTTCCTCCTCTGGAAGGACACAATCTACTGCTTATATGTCTATGTGTCTGTCTTTAGAGAGCAACTCGTTATCGTGAGATTGAACGTGAATCTGCAGGTTCTTCTGAGTTCTCCTGATTCCTGCGTCTGTAATCCTCCATGAAAATTCACCTCACAAATGGATCTATAGGATAGGAATTGGCGGACGGTGAAAATTGCGGGAAAACACTGATGTTTTTACCACAGAGTCAACAAGCCGAGGGGGGCTGGACTCTCACTGATCACCTGACCTCAGGTGGTCCAGGTGTGTCCAATCAGCATTCAGGGGGAGAAATACCTGCAGGTGTGAAGAGTCTAGTTTAAAAAGACAATAATAATCAAGTGTGAGTGTGTGTGTGTGTGTGTGTGAGTGTGTGTGTCTGTGTGTGTGTGTGTGAGCGTGGCCTCAAACTGTCAGAGCTCAGTTAAAACTCGACCAGAGTGACGAGCAGACAGATACCACCGCATGATTGGCAGAGTGCCCTTTACTTGTGACTGTGTGTGTGTGTGTGTGTGTGTGTGTCTGTGTGTGTGTGTGTGTGTGTGTGTGTGTGTGTGTGTGTGTGTGTGCCAGTGTATGATGGCAGCAGCCTAAGCCAGCGTGTCGTCTCAGCTCTGCCTGAAATTATACCGTATGTGTGTGAGAGTAGGAGTGTATTTTCTAATGAGCTGCATTTAAATCAGTGTGTGTGTGTGTGTGTGTGTGTGTGTGTGTGTGTGTGTGTGTGTAATTTTACAGTGCAAAGAGCTCCCAGAATTCATTGCATGGCTGACTGGAGTGACAGGAGAAGCCATTTAATGCCTCGACACTGGCAGAGAAGAACTGACAGAGTGGCATTTGGACGCCCTGTGTGTGTGTGTGTGTGTGTGTGTGTGTGTGTGTGTGTGTGTGTGTGTGAGTGTGTGTGTGTGTGTGTGTGTGTGTGTGTGTGTGTGTGTTAGAAACAGAGAGAGGTCTCAGCTGTTCTTGTTTTAAGGCGAACCTTCATCTCTATGCAGACGATCTTGTGATTTCGGGTTCTGACCCGATCCGGTTCTCTGACTTAAACCTTTAACTCCTTTAATAAAACAGAACCGGGTCACACTTCACAACAACCATCATTTATAAATGTTAATAGATACTTTATTAATGTGAGTTAATCGTTACTTCACCGTTAACAATGAAAGTGGAGAGAAAATCGCAGGAGAACTTTTCAGCTTCAGATCCATAAACTGGAGGAACCAAGTGGTCCAGAGTGAAACCAGGACCCGGTTTGGACAGACTGAGCTGACCCTGAAAGAGCAGCTGTGAAATGTTGGTGCTGAGAGGAAGTTTGGGTGGACTTGCTGGGCCACCATGACCCAACCCTGGACCAGCCAAGGACGGGACAGAGGAGGACGTGAAGACACGTGAGAGAGTGTGGGACCGTCTTCAGAGACAGGTCCGATAAATCAGCACCGAGGACGAGGACGTGAGAAAAAAGAGCTTTAATGTCCAAAGTTCAGAAACTCAAACAGACTGAGGGTCAAAGTTCAGAGACACCAGGAGTTCATGAGTGTGTGTGTGTGTGTGCACGTGTGTGTTTGTGTGTGTGTGAGTGTGTCTCAGTATCTGCCCTCCACGCCCAGCTCGCTCTCCGCTGAGCGTTCGATCTGCTCGTGGACCAGGCGGACCTCCTGCTGGGTCAGAGTGCGCTCCATATGGCGGTAGATGATGCGGTAACACTGACTCCGCCTCCTGGTCCTGAGAGAGACAGAGAGAGAGAGAGAGAGAGAGAGAGAGAGAGAGAGAGAGAGAGAGAGAGAGAGAGAGAGAGAGAGAGAGAGAGAGAGAGAGAGTTAACTTTGTTTGGTCATATATAACTGTAAATACTTGATTCTGATTGGCTGTCACTCCCTTTTCCTTCCTTTTTGTCTCTCCTTTCCTCTTTCATTTCCTCCTTATTTCCTTCTCTTTTTACCTTTTTTTCTCTCCTTTCTTCCTTTCCTCCTCCAGCACTATCTGACCGCTCTCTCCTCCTTTCCTTCCTCCATCTACCATCCCTCCTTCTTGTTCTTCCTCCACACTCTCTGGTTTTATTCCCTTACTTTCCTCATTCTTCCTTTCCTCTTTCCATCCTTGAACATTTCGTTTTCCTTATTTCCTCACCACTCTCTCCTTCCTTTACTCCTCCCTCTATAGTGCATGCTCATTGCTCCCTTCCTTCCTTCTCATTTTGGTCTTTCCTTGTCCCCTTATTTGTTTCCTTTCACTACTCTCTCTCTCTCTCTCTCTCTCTCTCTCTCCTCCTTAACCCCCCCCCCCCCTTGTTGACAGAGTGACTGACGGACCAATAAAAGACGCCGTTACAATCTCTAAAAACAACCAATACACCTCCTTCTCTCTCTCTCTCCATTCATTCTCTACCTCGCTCGTCCTCTACCAGCTCGTAAATAATTGAACATCAGAACATTCAGAGGAAATGTCAGAGAGACTAAAATAAACACACACACACACACACACACACACACACACAAACACACACACACACACTCACACACACACACACACACACACTCACACACACACACACACACACACACACTCAGAGTGAATGGTATTTCATGTGATAGACTTTGTCGTTGCTGAATAATTAATGTCTCCATTATCCAGCCCGCATAGCTGGAGGGGGGAGGGGGATCAATACAGTATCACCTGTAATACACACACACACACACACACACACACACACACACACACACACACACACAGCAAAGTAAACAGGGAAAATGTACAATAACTATACATGTGTTCCATTATGCATGAAGAATAAGCAAATAATTCTGTCATACATGAAGAAATACAAACACACACACACACACACACACACACACACACATCACACACACACACACACACACACACACACACACACTAATAGAGGACATATCCGGTGATGGATGGAGTGATAAATAAACGATGACTGAAGATGAGTGATGAAGATAAAGACTGTTATAGAGGGTCAGAGCAGCTGACAGACACATTCATCCACATTAACGGAGTTTTTATAGAAGGTTCTTCTGTTTTTAATGATCAGCTGATCAGCTGGTTTAGGTTGTTATTGGAAATTTAGCTTTTCCCTCTGACTAGGGCTGGGCAATACGTGAAAAAGTTCACGATATATTTTTGTTAATATCAGCTGATATGGATCAATATCAGGATCTAAAACTGTAACAGAGTTTCTTGGTCTCATGTCTTTTCCAACACAATAATCTCCTGCATCTGTGAGGTCTTTGTGTCTCTTTGGCGTTTTGTCGTAAGGCGTCGCTCTAGAGAAAGCCGACTGAATGGTCGTCTGTTTCAGGCGCCATGGGCTCCTCGCTCCTCTCGGGGTTCGTAACCTTTGGCGTTGCGCGTGCTCTGCGGCGTGGCGCTGCTTCAGGTGGTGAAAAAGATTTGAGGTATTCCCCGACTTTGTGAGAACATGTACTCGACATAATTTACAGTCCACATTACTCTGCTTCATGTCCGACCTCCAAAAACCAAAATACCTCCACACCACCGACGTTTTCCTAACGCCAGTGTTGTGGTTGACATTGATGTGGTCATCTGTTGAGCCTTCATGGTCATTTCTGTCGGGGGTAGCACTCATTTTCTTTGTTTCTCACCAACAGTGCTGTCGGCTTCACCTGTTAAAGTGCTATGGTTGGGTGGAGCTGCTGTCTGCTACGACGCTGCAGTTGGTTGATACTTGGTTCTAATTCAGAACATGATTGGTTCAGACCCGGAGAAACTCCCCTTTTCATTGGCTGTTCGTATAGTCGACCAAAACATGTCAGAATGACGACTATTGAAAAGGATATTGATCATGTTTTATATTGATTCACAAATCAAGCCTGTTGTGACATCACCACAGGAGCAGCCCCGACTAGTGGTGGGAGGCTGAACTGCAGCTTGTACACAACATATGACTGATATTTCAGGCTGACACTCAGTCCGTTTCCACGACACTTGAGAAAATCAAATTATCGCCTTTTTCCGATTAAGACCGGACAACTGAAGGTCATGTAAACACTTTAGTCCGACTATAATCAGAGTTTGAGAACTCTGATTAAAACTCCCAGATAATGAGATTGGAATTTGATTTTCTCTACCATGTAACCAGCGTAGTCAGAGTATGATCGGTTACAGGCCACGCCCCCGTAACCCCGGAACAAACCCCCAGAGTAGAGGAGTAGCGTTGGTCTCCTCTTTAGAAAAAGTAGCGCGTCCATCATGTCGGACAAAAACAACGCTGTACGATGCTCCATCTTCTTGTTTCTCCAAAATGCCCAGCAGCAGTTGTAGACACTTCTGACGTCTGACACCGACCTGCTGTTGTTGTTGACGGTTGTATGGGGTCGGAAACAGCACCGCTGAAATGACCCATATCGCCCCCTAGTGTTGGGGAGGAGGACACGTTCACGTCAATAATTCAGTTTTCTCAGCTGCATGTAAACGAGGACGAGGAGAGAAGTCTGATTCGGCGATAGACCTCAGAGAAGCTGACGTCTCAGTGTGTCTCTGTGTCTCATGAAGGTGTCTCCAGGTGTTCCAGGTAAAAACATCAGGACTGACCTTGATTTTATAAGAAAGTGTTTTAATTGTCTTTGTAGGAACGAGGAGTTTCAGGAGCCGCTGACACACCTCTGTGACCTGACCCTGTCGGAGGAAACCCGCTCCACAGTGAAGCCTCTCCTCTGTCACTGAAGCTGCTTTAATTTGTGCTTCCTAAAGGGAAAAACATGATGAAGTGAAGTGGTGCATGATAAAGAAATGAACACAGAGCTGGAGGTTTTCATCCACGGCAATTAAAACGCTGTGAGGAACTCGCTGCACCAATTAAAAGCTAACTGGGACAGAGACCATGACAACATGTTCTGTTTTGTCCTCCACACGTCTGACTTTCAGCAGTTTCTCCATAAATACCTAAGAGGAGGAGGAGGAGGAGGAGGAGGAGGAGGAGGAGGCGCTCACTGAGGCCCATCTGTAGGTCTGAGTACAGCTGCAGGAATAAATCTGTTTTAATCAGAGACCGGATCACTGGACAGAAACAGGGAGGAGGAAGAACAGGAGCTACACCAGACAGGCTGATATGTTCTGTCCAAAACTTCTGCAAACTTCTAATCATGAAAACAAACCAACAGAAACATCTCAACCACTCTGAGAGGAGAGTTTAACTCAACCACGGTTCAACCCGAGGTGACTGAGCCGGGTCAGAAACATCCGAACCCGGACTCCTCAGCTGATCTCAAGAGTTCTACATTTCAACATTTCAACTGTTGTCAGAATCTGGTTCTGGATCATCTGAAGGTCTTCCCTGAAAACATCTTCATCTGGATGGACGCAGATGTTCCTCCTAAACCTGGAGATATTGTCTAAAACTGAGGATGCAGCATCTATGATTTCCAGATCTTCGTTGAAAGGACAGTTGGACTTACTGGTTACTGGTGAGAGTCTCAGCTTCTCTCTTTGGTTTAATGTGAAGCTCTTTAACTCCATCACATCCTTCCTCAGGCAGTATTTGAGAAGACTGATCCATCAGGAGAAAAATTAGAGACAGAAGAGGAGAGGAAGCGAGGACGGGTTCAGAGGAGGACAGAAAAACATGGCCGACAGCTTCACAGCCAAAACATTAAAAAAAAGAAGAAAGACGTCGAAAAACACGATCGATTTGATGTCAGACTCAAGCAGATGGTGAGATGGAGGAAGAGATGGAGAGAGGAGGGGAGGGAGTGTAATGTTTCACTGTGAACGAGGGAGAGAGAGAGAGAGAGAGAGAGAGAGAGAGAGAGAGAGAGAGAGAGAGAGAGAGAGAGAGAGAGAGAGAGATGATGGACACGTCTGAAAGAGGAGTGTTGGTTTTCATTCAGAAGGACAGGAAAAGTCTGTTTGAGATGAAGTGAGAGAGGCAGAGAGAG